AGTTGCTACATGTATTAAACAAGTGACAATGCATTGATATCTTAATTCATAGGTAATAATAATGATCAATCAATAATGTGCAACATTATACTCAATAAGTTTTCTCTTGAATTGATTGTTTCTATGATAAATAATACGGAGTAATTGAATAGAGCTTAAATAGTAAATTGTACGTATAAATGTATGATTGCTTCAAAATTGAATATACCATATACGTCAAAAAGGGAATTTTGTGGTCTGTACCTCGTACTAATCTTCTTAATTGGATCTCAATGCCTTTTTTTTCATCCATAGCAGTGCCATGACTGCTATCTTCCTTCTTGTTCCATACTTGATGCTTCCCTTCATTTATGAAATTACAATCCACATTTTATTATTTGCATCATCAAAGTCAATATTAACATCAATCTGAACAACAACAACTATGTATATGAACATATTTTTTAAGAAAGTTGTATCCCGCTAAAAAAACATAAATAGAACAAAAAAGAACGGAGGGAGCAGAACTATCACTTACTCGAATAATCAAACTTTACGGAAGAACTCCTAGGTGGAAACGATTGTTGAAGAAAAAAGATGAAAAATATAGAAACAGCCGTTAATAAGATTATTAGGCATCTTCTTGTAACCAAATTCTCCATGGTTATTAATTATATGAACCTTAGCTTAACTTTGAACCTTAGTTAGTGTCGTTTAATGAAATTTTAAGTTGATATTAATATGTTGTTTGGATCGATGCTAGATCAAATCCATTAATTATTAAATGTTTGTAGCATTAATAATCTCGTGCATAACTCTGAATCTTTGATTGTTTGTCCATATTTTTATAATGTACAATTCTTAGACTTAAGTTTAGTCAATGAACAATTGCCCTAAACTATGGTGAATTTAGCGTAAAATATGGAAGATTGGCAAATTTTTAATGCCATTTACTACTCACTAAGTCACTATACTGACAAACTAAATCTAAAATATGGATTTTATATCATATGTTCGATCTATACATCTCTTACATATATATTTCTTGTTATAAATTCTAAATTATTTGTGATATATGATTTGAGTGTCATGGATCAATATGTTATTTAAGAAATGAAAAAAATAAAATAAAAAATGTACTCATTTGAATGTATAATTATAAAAGTTTACGATGATATACTTTTAATGTATGTTAAAATTTTAAGTTTTACTTTGTTCTTCCCATACGATGTACTTTAAGTAATGTAGCCAGATAATAAAGTGATTTTCTTTGCCATGTGTTGGGGACTTGGGGCTGTTGGCGAGGTTAAATTACCTACATTTTAAAACAACAAACAAGTCCTAAGCTTGTTAGATGTTAGGTATTTATAAATTTTTCTATTCATACCATTTGAACGCAACCTATTACCAACAAGGCAAGTAGCATTATTAAAGTCATTGATAACTCAAGCTATACTAAGGGCCTGTTCACATTTACTGAACTGAGTTGAACTGAACTGATTGGAGCTGAAATGAACTGAACTGATTGGAGCTGAACTGAACTGAACTGAACTGAATTGAGCTGAAATGAATATTTTATGAGAGAGGAAAATTAAGAGCTGAACTGAACTGAACTGAACTGATTGGAGCTGAACTGAACTGAACTGAACTGAACTGATTAGAGCTGAACTGAACTGAACTGAAATTAAGTAAATGTGAATAGGCCCTAAGTTACTAACCTTTTGCCCTTATAGTTAAGTTATAGGGAATTTCCTCATCAAATCATAACCAAGGTTGGTTGTGTATGGGCCCATAGTTCTTCTTGTAAGCTCACTAAGTCACTAACCCTGTTTCATAGCAACAATGTGTATCATCAAAATTGTTTCAACCTAATAATAAGCCTAAAATGACAATCATGTCATGGTACTTTCCAAACCAACTTCGCATGGAATTAGACTAAGTGAGTGAGACAAAGCTAATTACGGAGTAACATTTTTTCCAATAAAATTGACATCTTGATCAGATTATATACTTCATTAATAAATAAATTGCTACAATATTTCACTTTTTGGTACTTAATTATGTACTTCAGTCACCAAAGATTAATTATGTGCGGTGATAAAAGATATACAATCCTAAACCAAATTAGACAGAACTTGCTAAATTAATTTAGTTTGGTAAATGTGCACTAAATTAGCATACATATTTTATACGAAATGTGTCTCGATCTAACAAGCTCAACAACTTCCGACTTAATCACTTTAATAAACTCTAGTATTCAAATTTTACCTTATAAAATATATACTACCTCCGTTATAGGTTATGTGCAACGATTAAACATCTTTCCTCTCTGCTTTATGTCAAATCGTTGCACATAACATGTAACAGAAGTAGTAAATAAATTCTGAACTTCAACTATTAAGTAAACCTATTGATTGAGTTGGACATTTAACATGATATTATAGGTACCGTGATAAAAGATCATTGATCCAATATAATTCACCTCTCCTTTCAAGCGGAATTTAATTCGCACTGGAATAGAGGAGGTCCAAGTTGTATCTATATTTTAGGTCCAAGGGTTCTCGTGTGAACGGGCTTGATAGAGCTGAGTGTGTAAACCAATCTTTTTTTTTTTTTTGGATAAGAGTGTGTAAACCAATCTTGAGGTTTCTCACAAGTACATTTAAGTTTTTAATTGAGTTGATCAATTAATATTACTCATCAATACTCATAGATTAATTGTGCATTAATTTAGCTGTCACTTGATCCTATATAAAGCTTTTTAGAAGATTTTTAATATATAAAAGTATAGATATAGATAGATATGCTACACATGTATTTAAAAAATTAAAACTGAAATTTTTCCTTCATACTAAGATAAAGTTTGTGAAAAAAAAAAGTAAGATAAACTAATGCATTAATTGATATAATTAATGTTTATTTTAGCATAATATTTTCACTTTACCCTTATTATAGTTAATTGATAGCAACATATAACTAATCCTTGTTTTTTTTTTCTAGCTTCTATAGCTTTTTTTTTTAATTTTTTTTTGGTTGATTCTATTTGGTTTTATGTAGAACGTTTGACAACAAAGTATTTGCTTAACAGCATATTTGTCATGTGTCGACATTATTCTTCTACGCCTTCGGTTTTACTTCTTATACGATATAAAATCTCAATCTTGCACAAAGGTTTAACTTTTCAACTTGACAACTAGATTATTTTTTTGAAATTAAAACGATTACCTCACATCAATACATCATAGTGACTATATTGCTTATGAAGTTCAGAGTATATTATCAGATAAAAATATTGAATTTCTTTAAATCAAATTATTTTAATTTTATGTGTTGTTAAAAGAGCCACAAGGTCAAGTGACGGAATGAAATCATGTGAGATATCCTTCACTCGAGATATCCCTCCATAAGGGTTAGAGAACGTTTAGTTCACTTTATAGTAATTTTATTTAAGTTAAAAAATATATGTAAGGGCGTAAGGCCCTACATAGGACCCAAAATATTACAGGGATTTTATGTAAGTTAAAAAAAAGGCAAAAATAATAGGCATGTATCAAACACGGCTCAATTAAAAAGTAGAGAGAAATAAAGTCATAAAAAGAAAATAAGACTAGTAAATTAAGACATCCCAAAAGAAAGATAGATTGAGCCAGAAAATCGAAAGTAGTAGGTGATCAACATTGGTCTGGTCCACTAGTTCGGCCCTAATTCGACCTGAAACTAGGGCTGGTTTGGATAAGCCTAAACACAAATTTCTACATAAAAATCTGAACCTGGCTTAAAAATCCCACTTTAGCCCGATAAGTTCGCTATTTTTTGCAAATTTGGACACGAAATATAATATTAAGGCCCAATTCGACCTGATTTTTTTAAAAATTTCATTTTTTATATCACCTCTAGAAAGTGGTAGAGTTTCAACAGTGGGGCGTATGTACGACTGTACCCCTGTTACATTTTGCGCAACCGGGCCAGGAAGGCCTCACACATACAATTGGCTGTCTCTCTCGAATCTCAATCTTGGCCTTTGCGTTATAATTTGTCTCTTGGACCCATAAATATCTTTCCCGCCAACCTTCTTAGGTCCACCCACTCTATGATATTTGACCCAAACCACCCAATTACAAAATAAATATCCCTTCTCCTAAGCAACTGGATTTATAAATTAATTATATGCTTTGTAAGTAATAATAAGTATGTTCACGACTGCTTTTAGCATTTAGATATTTCAATTTCAACAATTATAATCCACTAATATATTACTCCTCATGTAAGATATTTCCTCCTCCTTTCACAAAAATACTTATAATAGTACTCTGTAACACTTTTAATTTGCATCATTTATATATCAACGATATATATGTACTGTACTAATTTATTATAGGTACATGTTATTCAAACAAAATGTTTTTGAAATAGTTTTATACTTTTATTACTGTATATCTCATAATATCAAGTTTTATATTTATTTATGTACTGTAATTAGTAGATTATTAAAGATATTTAAGATTAAAGAAGTGCTAATAATTATGTACTTTGTAAAGTAATAAGTGTGTGCACAGCTGCTTTTAGCATCTAGATATTTCAATTTCAACAATTATAATCCACTAACATTTTACTGTATACTTTTTGCATTATAATTCAACGATAATACCTAATACCTATACACTTTTAATTTTGCATTATTCATATATCAATAATAACTGTATACTTTTTACTAGCTTATTCATTATTTGTACATGTTATCAAACAAAATGTTGTTGAAATAGTTTAATTTGCTCTAACCAATTCAACTTGATCAAGTTAACATCAACAACGTAACAACAACCAACTTGCACTAAAAAAATATCAAGAGTTCTACTAATCTGCTTCAAGTCACTTGTAGGGATCATGGAATGCATACTCCCTAATTATACAAAGTATTTAATTTTAATAACCGAAACTATTTTTTCTTTCACTTTTGATCAACCAAACTCAAATATCTTTATTTTTCGTTTCCTGTTCATAAATTGAGCAAGAAAAGCAAGTGAGATCGTATGTACCAAATCTTTGATTTAGAGGCCAATTTTAGAGCTACAATGTCAATACTTCCTAGAAATATTACAAGTAGTTAAAAAATTAATGAACCTTTATCTATAACACCTAAACTAAAACTTATTTAATTAAAAAAAATCTAACTAACTAATTGACTAATAACCCATTGTTAGGATACCCATGAATTTTATTCCATGACTCTTCTCTTTGCATCTTCAATTGCTTATAAAAATTTCCAATGAATTTCTCTGCTTTCACAAACAATTCTTCCTCCTCTTCATACACTTCTACTTCTTCATCATCTTCAGATTCGGCTTCGCTTTCGTCGCCATCTATGAAGAACAAACTAGGCCTTGAAGGGCACTTCTTGATCAACTTCTTAACCTCATCAGCACAAACAATGATCTTCTTCACAGGTATCGATTTTTCGACGACGGTTTTCAAAGTATTCTTAACCTCATCAGCACAAACAATGATCTTCTTCACGGGTATCGTGTTTTCAACGACGGTTTTCAAAGAATTCTTAACTTCGTCAGCACAAACGATGATCTTCTTCAAAGGTATCGAGTTTTCGACGACGGTTTTCAAAGATAAACACGTTGTTTTTGTAGTGTTAACAATAAAGTTGGATGACGTGTACGATGAGTTCTTGTTGTCCCCTTCTAGGGCATCTATGCCGTTGTTCGAGGATGAGGATGAGGATGAGGAGAGAAATCCCGTTTCGATGCCAAGAATAACGATAAGAACATTTGTTTGGGTCCAATTTAGTCAAAATTGGGCCTGAGCACTAAATGATCCAATTAAAAGCCCAAGGTCAAGGTTCAACTCTCCAATTGCTCAAAAGTCAAAAGTCAGCCCACAAAGTAAGCCAATTGGGCTAAAGCCCAACCTCTCCAAGTATGATGAGGTATAAAAGCCCTCATATTAACACATTCAAGGGGAGAGTCATATACATGATCAGACACAACATCTCATAACATCACATACAAGATCAACGAGATCATATACAACAACAGACACAACATCACATGCATTATCTCATACACGGATTATTCCAACTCATATGCTCATTCTTGCATTGAGAAATACTCCACAAAAGCCTCAAGCTACAAACTCTCTTGCATAGTGTCTTCCTTTTTACACATTGTACTGACTTTAGCATCGGAGGGGCCTTCCTCGGAAACACCCCCGAGGCTAGTTTACGTGTGTTCACTGTGCAGGAAACCTTCGGCCCAACACAGCTTGGATCGAATCCAGTCTTCTCCATTTTAGTGGACCTTCGGCAAGGTCCCATTGTTTTCAACCGAAACAATTTGGCGCCGTCTGTGGGGATGACTTTCAAAAATCTTTAAGCCAAATTCCTAACCAAGATCATCTTGCAATTATCTTAGCAGCCATGGCTAAGAACCGCAAGAGCAAAAGCCTCCGTCAAGGAGCGGGCGAAAAGCCTAAAACCCCTACACCATCGCCCTCGCCGGACCGGAACTCTCCCAAGGGTGCCGGCTCGGGGGGAGGATCACACAAGGAGGATTCCCTATCTCCTATAATGCATGACTCTCAATATAGGCCGGACCACTCTCGGTCTAGCAGGGGTCAGTCTGATCATAGGACATATTCAGTGTCCCAAAGCCAACCATCGGCTGCACGGCCTCATTACCACACTCGGCCGGGGACCCCTTTGACGGGGCCCAGTTCGGAGGAGGTGGCAAGAGCGCTGGCAGTACTCATGGAGGCAATGAGGGCACAGAATATGCCACCGTCTCGTGATCGAACTCCTCCGCATACCCGGCATCAGCGGAGGAAGTTAGACCATGACGGTGGGAAGCTTCCTTCCTTCCGGGAACTGGAAGAGTGGGAGGAGGATTCTTGGAAAAATGAAAAACAGAGGAAGAAGAACTCTCAATTATTTAAAGGATCCTCATCCTCAAGACCAGCAGCGCATAAGAGCAGCAGCTCAGCTTCTCGGCCAGAATCTGCTCGCCGGGAACCTGAGACTGCTCGCAGAAGCGTCCTTGACCGACTCGGCGGCCAGGAACCGAGCGTGCGTAGTCGCCTCACGTTCCCTGCAGCCGAGGCCCAGACTTCCCAGCCAGGGACGAAAACCACTCCTACCTCTCTGAGAGGGCGGAGCGCGGTCCCTTCGGCCAGGAACAAGGGCAAGGCCATTATGCTTCCCGCTAGTTCACCATTCGAGCAATGGATACTAGAAGAGCGCGTACCCACGGTTAAAATACCGTCGCATATCACATATGACGGGACCACGGATCCGAAGGACCACGTGGCCTCGTATGAGACTCATATGCATCTTTGCCCCAGATCCGAGGCGACTTGGTGCAAATATTTCCCAACCACTCTCAAGGGGGTCGCGCAAGCGTGGATCTCCAAGGGAGTAAGGCAAGGCTCCATAACAGGTTGGGATGATCTGTCCTCCAAGTTCAGGAGCAAGTTTTCCACGGCAAACCGCCGAGAGAAGACTACCGCAGAGCTCATGGGTCTGCAACAGGGGGAAACTGAAAGCCTCCGAGACTACCTGACCCGTTTCAGTAACGAGTCATCAAGCGTCTCTCAGCTGGACCAGGGGCTAGCTGTTTTTGCAATGCAGAATGGCCTTCAGCCAGGAAAATTCCTAGACTTCATGGTCATGCATACCCCGCAGACCTTGGAGGAAGCTCTTAGTGCTTCGGATAAGTTCATCCGAGCCGAAGAATGGAATAAAGCAAAAACCCAACCTCAATCCGGGGGAGGGAAACAGAGGCAAATACCCTTGTCTGAAGGCCAAGGCCATAAGGCAAAGGGAAAATCAAAGGCCTCGGAGCCATCTTCGGCCAGCGACCTAAAGAAGGACAGGTTTGCCTCATACACAGGCAGATACGAGTCCTACACTCCGCTCTCTCTTCCACGCGCCAAAATTTACAGTGTGACGAAGGAGGAGCAGAGTTACCGAAAGCCGAGACCACTCCCAGAGTGGTATCAGCGAAAAAATAAAAATCAGTGGTGTGAGTTCCACGAGTCTTCGGGCCACAACACTGAAGAGTGTATCCAGCTGAAGGACCAGATAGAGGACATGGTCCGGAAGGGATACTTGAAAAAATACATCGCGGATCACCGCGAGAAAAAAGAATCCGAAAGGTTAGCAAAGGACCCTCGGCAGGACCTTGATTTCCCTCGGAAAAACAGTAAAAAACCGGAGGGGAAATTCCCTCCGATCAATGTTATCTCGGGAGGAATATACTCTCGGAGGGAGCACAAGCGTCACCTTAGAGCTTTGACTCACCAGGTGAACAACGCTGACATTCAATCTCCCCAGTCGCCGGTGCCGAACATGACGTTCACAGCCGCCGACTGCCGGGGGATTACGTTCCCTCACGAGGATCCGTTGGTGATCATCGCCACGGTGGCCAACCACGACGTCAGTAAGGTCCTTGTTGACGGTGGCAGCGGAGCAAACATTCTGTTCCGAAAGGCCTACAACCAAATTAAGCTGAAGCCCAAGCACCTTACGCCGGTACCCTATCCGGTATCCGGGTTCAATGGGGCTTCAACTTATCCAGATGGGAAGGTGACACTTCCTGTCACCATCGGTTGCGATGAGGCAGCCCGGAACGTCATGATTGAGTTTTTGGTCATCGACGCTCCTTCAGTGTACAACGTGATTTTGGGGAGACCCATAATTCACGAGATCCAAGGGGTCGTCTCAACTTATCATCAGCTGATGATTTACGTCTCAGACGCCGGCTTCCCCGAAAGGATACAGGGCAACCAGAAGGACGCCCGAAGGTGCAACTACCTCAAGCCATCCAGTAGTCGCCCAGATAACGACAAGGATGAGGAGGAGAAAGAAAAAGAAAGAGAGCCAAGCACAAAAAAGCCGAAAGGCCTAAGTGCTTCGGCCCAAGGATCAGTGCCCAGAGAAAAAGGTCCCGAAAGGGAAAAGGTTGACTCTTCATCTGAGCCGAAAGACTCAGAGAGCCAGCCGAAGAACACAAAGACTGGGACACCTGCTGACATTGGCAGCAGACCAGATTCTGAAGAGTCCAGTCCATCGGCAATGGACATGGACCAACGGACTGAAACAGTTGAGTTGGCCGAAGGAGATGCTGAGAAATGTGTAACAATCGGGATGGACCTTGATCCTGACACCCGTTGTGAACTTATTCAGCTCCTTCGGGATAACAGAGATGTGTTTGCTTTCTCGGCAGCTGATATGCCCGGGATAAGTTCAGACCTCATCTCCCACAAGCTTAATGTTGACCCAGCGTGTCGACCAGTTAAGCAAAAGAAGCGGAATTACTCCGCCAATAAGAACCGAGACATCGCAGCCGAAGTCAAAAAATTATTGGAGGCAGGATTCATTGAACCTTGCCAATATCCGGAATGGCTGGCAAATGTGGTGATGGTTCAGAAGCCCAATGGTACCTGGAGGATGTGCGTTGACTTCACGGACCTAAATAAGGCTTGCCCAAAGGATTTCTATCCCTTGCCAAGAATCGATCAGCTAGTCGATTCGACAAGTGGCCATGCCTTGCTTAGTTTCATGGACGCATTCTCAGGGTATCATCAGATCTTCATGCACCCCGACGATCGAGCAAAGACAGCATTCGTCACGAACGCTGGGGTGTATAATTACAAAATGATGCCCTTCGGATTGAAAAATGCGGGGGCAACCTATCAAAGGCTGGTGGATCAAGTTTTCGCCGATCAAAAGGGCCGAAACATGGAAGTCTATGTTGACGATTCAATCGTCAAAAGCAAAAAACTAGAGGACCATGTAAAGGACCTGGCTGAAACTTTCGCCACCTTGAGAAAGCATCAAATGAAGCTGAATCCGAAGAAGTGTGTCTTCGGCGTGAAGTCAGGGAAATTCCTGGGTTTCATGGTCAGCAAAAGGGGGATTGATGCCAATCCCTCTAAAGTCAAAGCGGCGCTCGACCTTCCTGAGCCGAAAACGAAGAGGGATGTTCAGCGGCTCACCGGAAGAATGGCAGCCCTTTCGAGGTTCATTTCTAGAGCTTCGGATAAGGGGTTACCCTTCTTCAAAGCCCTGAAACTCCCGAAAACAAAAGAGCTTGTTTGGGAGGAAGAGCAAAAAGATGCCTTTCAACAGCTTCGGGAGCATCTGGCTCAACTCCCAACGCTGGCTAGCCCAGTTGAAGGAGAAACTCTATACCTATATGTGGCCGTTAGCCCAGCCACCATCAGCGCAGTATTGCTGAGGGAAGAGAGTAAGAGTCAGCAACCGATTTATTTCGTCAGTCATACACTGACGGATGCCGAGACCCGCTATCCTCTACTCGAGAAAGTTGCTTTCGCGGTAGTGGTAGCTGCTCGGAAGCTGAGGCCCTATTTTGATTGCCATCAGATAGTGGTCTTAACTGATCAGCCGTTGGAAAAAGTTCTTGGCAAGGTTGAAAAATCCGGTAGACTAGCCAAGTGGGCTTTTGAGCTCACCGAATTCAGCATCAGCTACCGTCCGAGGGCTGCCATCAAGGCTCAAGCCCTGGCGGATTTCTTGGCCGAATGCTCATACCAAGAAGTGCTGGACAGTGACAAGAAAGTCTGGACCGTGTTTACGGATGGGTCTTCCACCGAAAACGGTTCGGGGGCAGGAGTAGTGATAACTTCCCCCGAAGGCAAATCCTTTGAGTATGCACTAAAATTTTCTTTTAAGGCCTCGAACAATGAAGCCGAATATGAGGCAGCAATCGCCGGCCTACAATTGTGCATCTCCTTGGAAGCCGATCATGTCTGC